AGTATGACTCGTTAGATCTTGTAAAGCATACATGTTCAGTACACATGATTCATAATAGGGTACTAAACTTTTATAAACCTTTATATAACTTTGTTACATGTATAGCAACTAATCAGTCTACTATGTATATAATGTTACATACATATCTACTAACTGTTATACAAGTTATATTTGGTACGATTTGGGAATAGAATAGTATAGTATAAAGATAACCAAAGATAACAAAACCTTTGGCCTAAGCTTGAGGTTAGAATTTTGGTATGGTGCCATATACAGCACAGCTGTAAGGTCATGTGCAATGTCTGAACCTTTGGAAGGAGCCTGGCCCTTCCAAATACCACCATTTCTCATACTCTGGTGGTAGACAATCTAGCAAGTGATCAGGTGGGCTTGTTCTACCAAATCATCAATTCATCATGGTAGATAAACTTATAACTTAATAACATTAGCCATTTTCTACAGAACAAAAGTCACAAGAACAAAACACTCAAGTATGTAGTTCAAACCCTATCTGAAGTCAACTTCCTGGTGAATTTTTGTACAATGGAATTTGAATCACTGCAAAGCAATATACAGAAAGTGAAAATATGACAACACTTTCTCCCATGAACATGTAGAAAAGCTACCGTTTGTTTGCATCAGGCTAGCATGTAATTAATTATTAATATTACTGCAAGGCTCATTGGCATAGGTCATGGGTTTGTCATCATCATTGGTCCTCCTCTTTACTGTGGCAACTGTGGCAACCAGAGTTTAGCTTCCAGAACTGATTGTCAGTTGAATACCTTTAAATACAGATACATATGTATCAGTACCCTATAAACTCCTTGGTACATGCACTGTCATCACCAAGTGACATCCAGGAAAAAGCACACCATGCTAGATACAGCCTTGACCTTTTGATTTAGTGTAGTTCATGCCTCAAGCACTTGTCAGCTACATTGTTGGCTACTTATATCCAGGCATGCATCTGTGCAGTTCATTCACTGCGCTGAGTTGAAATTGTGAGGCCAGTGAGAGAGAAAGTTTTTCTGCTTGAGTCTAGCTTATCTCATGCTTGAAGATTAGAAGCTAACAAAAATCTGAGGATAAGCGGCATTTAGCAAAAAATCTTTAAAATTAAAGACTTTTATGACACATTGTGGAATCATTATGTATACCTTTCTAAGAGAGGGTTATATTACAAGATATTAAGAAAATGGCAATGCCACAACTGACAAGCAATAAAACATATATTTCATTTAAGCAAAACTAGCACATCCATCAAATGGCCTAAACCTAATATCCTTTTCCATCCCCAAATATTTGCTTTCGTTCAATTTTCACTATTTAAGGCATAACACTTGAAAATGTTTCCACCAGGACATACAAGTAGGACAGGACACCAAGACATGGATAAAGGACAGCCAGCCAATTTACATCATATAGTACACGGCCAGCCATACATGAACATGGTAGGATCCTTAGACATGTACACATGATTAGTGCTGTGTACCTAAACCCACATTTAGATTCAGGTCCGGATTCAAGTCCAGAGGTTTAGGTTCAGTTAAGTCCGGATCTACATGTATACCCATGGCATGTACAAAATTGCATGTAAATATATGTTGGTAACCTTCCAATGTTGTCTGGGCAAAACTATGGCCACATAACACCGAGGCTGACACTTGATGATGCCTGATGGCAATGTTTTCTTCATTTCATTTTTGCAGCACAGATTTTGCAATATATTGAAGATTTTTATGTTGCTTGGAAGTTGGAACGAAAAGGTGTTTGTGACATTGTTTTTAGTTTGTTTGTTTTTTTGTAATAAGTCCGGAACTGGTTCCTGCCTTTTAGGTTTTTTGGACTTGAACCTAAACATTTTTAGAAGTCCAGAACCGGTCCAGTAAACCGGTACACAGCACTACACATGATCATTTTTTTAAAATAGTAAAATTGATACAGTAGGATGGGTTCATCTCCAACTACTCCAAGCAGATGTTGGGAATTGTAATGTTCTTTGCCTGTCAGAGAAGCCCATCCAACATCTACTTGGAGATTAGGATGGCCCTTGAAGCCTTCAGAAGACACAGATGTGGACATATATGGGCACTGGCCATAACAGGAAGTTAGGCATTAGGCCTAGTGAGTGGGTGGAGGGAGGAAGGGAAAAGGATGGCAAAGAAATCGAGTGGGAATGATTAGCTGTCTGATTTCTGCAACCCCCAAGAGCTGGGTATCAGTTTTCCCAAAATATTTACATTGTACAAAAATAAATATCCTCTGGAAATGAGCAGTAGGATCTGTACATTGTAGGTATCGTATTTCGGACTAACATGCTATGAAATGTAATTTTGCACCTGTAAAACTTGTGCTATCTATAAGATTCTGAAACAAACTTGACCTGTGAGGTCCCAAGGTGACATCTGGACAGTCTGGGCAGGAAATCTAGGATACTGTAAACTCATTTATTTTAGTGGGGGGGGGGGAGGTTTTTGCAGTATTTCAAGTTGTTAAAACAATTCTGCAGTAAAGCAGAATCATATAGTCCTTAAATACATGTAAGATACCATAAAAATCCCCGGCTTTATTGGCGGGTGATGCTGATTCCAGATTCAGGGCTCGAAATTTATTTTTGGGAATAGGTGCACTGGTGCTCCCAACAAATTGGGTGCACAAAAATTTTTTGGGGGTGCACCATATAACTTTATTATAAGATAAAGTAAGTGGAATGTCAGCAAAAACTAATTATGTTTCATTTCAATATAAAGAAAATTAATATTTATAATAACAATCATTTTATCATTTTTCTGACACTTGGATTTTACCATACATTGAACATCTTTACATACGTAAACCTATGAAAATATTTGGGTGCACTGACTGATGCATCGACAGAAAAAAATCGGGTGCACAGCTGGGTGCACTAAGGTGCACATGCACCCAGTACTAGTATTTCGAGCCCTGAGATTTTAAAACCACAGTAACATACACATATTACTACATACACATACAAACTATGCAAAAATTGAAAATCACAACAAGACTATAAAACTCATCTTCATTTCTAGTTTTGTCACATTTTACATTTTCTATATATTGTGATACATTCAAAACCTTACGTAGACAACCAATATTTTCAGCCTTTGGTCAGAAATGATCAATGGACATACCCCCATTTTATTTCTTTATTTCTAGATTAGTATTAGACCCAGGTACATTCTAAATATTACAAATGATTTCTGTATTTTTGGCATGTACACGCCCAATTTATGCAAGCCATTGGTCAGAAATGATGAATGAATAACAACATGTGTATGATCCCGGTGATGAGTCATCTCAGTCCCATAGGGAGCAGGAATCATTCCTGACTCTTCCCCCTAAATTGCTTGACATTGTCGTCCAACCCAATTTAGCCTCATTAGTGTGGTTATTTTCTACTAATGCAACCTCCAGAGCTCCTAGATATCGGGAATTACTGGGGGTGAACAGATTGCATTAGCCAAGCCATAAAGTATGTCTCTGTGTATCTATGTAGTTTGATTAAACCCTAGTGTATAAGAAAGTACAGGAATGGTACTTGTAAATAAGTCCACATTTTACTGTTGTTGATGCTAGATGTTGATGCTACAAAAATGTAGATTAGATACCCCCTCCCCACTTGCTGTCTCTTAGTGACTAACTTTGTATGATAACAAAATTCAATGTTCACTCCCCACACATACACACACACTGTATTTGGTCCTGTACAATACAGTACTTGATGTTCCGACGACTAGTGAACATGGATCCTTTCAAGGGGCAATAGGATATGGAGTGGCATTATGTCCTCAGGACAGACCTTTACCTTGCAACCCTCTTCCTCTCCGTTCAATACATATGGTCCCATCCCAATAACATAGTTGAGTCCCAAATACACACATTTTGCAAATAGGAGTGAGCAACTTCTTTGATCCTAACAGCTTGATTGAAGTACACCTAAAAACTAGGTTATACATGCAAATCAATGTGACAGGCAGGCTTGCTAACTACGTCAGGAGGAATCTCATGCCCCCATTCTCATCTCTGCGATGCTTCTGTCACCAGAGTGGCAGACTAAACGATTAACATACATACAGCCTCCTAATAGAACTTCATTCACACTAAATAAAGTACAGTACAGTACAGTACAGTACAATACAATTTTGAACATTGGTAGGGGTATCAGCACAATACTGTACATTCAGTACAGGTACAAGAGTTGAGGTCTGCAGCCCCCAGCATTGGTTATAAATCTACTAGTACTAATTGAATTGAGAATCTGTCAAACTTTTGTCACTCTACAATTAAAGATTAGAGTTAGGGTAGTAGGTTAGGGTTAGGCTTTAAAAAATGATGGCCAAAAAATTATGAAATGAATGTTGACCATAACTTGAACAGAGAACCTGCAAGTGTAACCATGTTGTCTTATCCTTTTCCCTTATCATTGATTCATTATAACACTCATCACTAAGAATTCCTTACAAAAACAGCCTCCTATATTTGGTACTTTTATAAACATTTGCTGATCATAAACACACAAAGAAACCACACAGTGGACCTGGATGCTAGCTGCTGACAGCAGGAATTTAAACTTTACGGCCACATACTTGAATTGTCACCAACACCTAATGTATTGCAGTGGGCACCTCTGATACACATACTGTCAACAAGAATTTCCACCATAAGTGAACATAGTACATGTAACATAGTGGTGGGTACCAGAAAGGGAACATTCAGATCAAGGCCCTGTCAAATATGTACATTTTGAAAGTGTCTTTGAAAGTGTCTTTTTTCCAAAATTGTGTGTTGTACATTACTTTGATTGAAACTCTATTCCCCAAGTATTCAAGAAGGGTAAGCACAGGTTGTGTTGCCTGCAATGTGCCATACTAGACATAAGACACACAAGGCTATACACATACTTCCTGTGACAAAATACAGGTGGTGACTGCTTGCCCTCTAACCCTTGACCTTTAACTCTAAACAAACATCCTTACCTCCAAGACAGGGCCAGCTCCTAGGATGGTCTGTTCAATCCCGCTGGCGTGGCCTTTATAACTCAGTGCGGTGAGGTGGTGCAGCAAGAAGTTGGTGCTCTCTGTCTTCCCGGACCCGCTCTCTCCTGATATAACGATGCACTGGTTCTCTCTGTTCTCCAGCATGGTGTGGTACGAGGCGTCCGCGATGGCGAAGATGTGCGGCTCCAGCTCGCCCAGCCGGTGGTTCTGGTACATGTTGACGTACTTGGGGTTATAGATGGGGAAGAACTTGAAGGGGTTGATGGCGATGAGGATGGAGCCCACGTAGGTGTAGATCTTTCCCTGGTTGAACCTGACCTGCAGGTTATCCAGCAGTGTGTGCTCGTTCAGGTCGGGGAGGCGGCACAGGTCCGGGTAGTCCTTGTCCGAGGGCGGGCGGAAGTACTCCGCCATCAGGGCGTTCATGGAGTCCGTGCTCGAGCACACCGACCAGCGGCTGTAGAACGCGTGGAGCGTCTCGCGCAGACAGAACTTGTAGATGGCGGCATCTTTGTTACTCATGGTCGGCATCTTGCGTGGCCAGATCAACTGGACTTGGGCAGGGCACTCGTCTCTCTGCAGGAGCCGCTCCTTACAGTTCTGTCCCCCCGTGTAGCACACCTCTGCGATCTCATAATTCTCCGCCCCTCCCGCGAGGTTGTACTGCGCCACCAGTTGGCAAATGACGTCGGTGGCAGTGGTTTCCTTGGCGACCTGCAGGACAATAAATGGCTCCTCAGGCACCAGGGGTCCGGGGTGGATCTGCAGGGGGTGCAAGTCCTCTACCAGTACTTCCTGGTTTGCCATGGGGGCTGAGTCAGTGGTCGCCATGGAGGAAGGAAGTTCTACAGTAGCAGACAGATTTCAGAAACATGGCAGAGTGGGACATTTCCTCTTGTTTGAACAAGCTGGGTGCAGCTTGCCCCAGTCAGCCTGTAGCGGGACACTCCTTCCTTCAACTAGTGATCTCTGGCTGCAGTCTAGCATGACCAACATGCCCCAGTGGGCAACCCTGGACAGAAACATCACAACTGGTCAGTGTAGTACACAAAATTCTACTGGACTAGCCACCAACAGGTTTGTAGGTTTGGGTTACTTTCAAAGGATATCCTAGTTTCCTATCATAACCGGGAACCAATCTAATGACAATGAATGATACAGGAATCACAGAATTAACATACTTCCTGGCAATACTTAGTAAAATTATATACTGTGAGCGATTCTTTTAGTTAGTATATACAACTATAGTAAGCATACTGAGGTATTGGTATTTAAGGAGAGGAGAATGTTGCTGCTAAAATATACTTCTGGATTCTATTTCTCCAATATTACTCAACCAGTTCAAGGAATTTGAACCATGATGACTCATTTCTCCTTCTAATAGTTCTATGTCGTGACTTGAAAAATCGACATTGAAATATTAACGTTACCTGTTATATCTTCAATAATTCCATAATACCAAAACATTGATTAATGAAAAATGTGTGGCACCTCAAAACTCCTTTGTTTTTAATTTTGCGAAGTTCGGTTACCACCCCCCTCCCTCCTGCTGTGGTGAGAGTCAATGATCAAACTCCATTGTTTTGACGGCCAACTAAAAGTCAAACAATCGGATAGCACAGAGCCAAAGAGTGAAAATTTACACTGACTAAATACGGCGCTGTGTACATCCCAGGGAAAGTAAAAATAAGAGACAACACATCAAAAACACATCATTGTAATGCAGTGTCGGATGATTTTTCATAAAAGATATGTGGCCGATCCCTACGGGCCACATAGCGGGACTGGGCCCCGGGGTTACCGCCTGAAAATTGTATTCTCAACCGGGACAGGCGGACAGAACTTCAACACTTTCCTGTGTCTTGTTTCTCAAACTCCAGTTTGTTCTATGAACTGCGTCCGTATATGTCAGTGGCTTTAGAAATAGACTGAATGTCTCGGGAAGTAACTTTTGAATCTCATGAAAGAAACTGTCCTGTGCAAGGTCTCTGATTTCATTCACAAAAAAAAAAACTCACCTCAGATCACCTCGCCGTGTATCCAACTTTTTACATGCTATTCCTCTCCGTGGAAGGAAGTGGGTCCGTTAGTAGTTGGCTTGACCGTTAGGGTCCAAGTTTCTCTAGCCCCCTGCTGTTGGAGACGTCAGATATCGCAGGTATGGCGAGGTAATGAGTGATTATTTGCGGAATGTGCAGAGTCCCGGACCCTCACCCAGCCATAGTCAGTCCTCTGCTTCCGGAAATGGTACCAGCGGGTCGGGCACACAGGACGCATGCGTGTTTTCATTCATTGCAGCGACGACTAGCGGTCTAAATTATGTTTGCAGCATGATGTTTTTGGTAAATACTCAAATCGTTCATAAATCAGCTTTTTATAATATAACAGAAAACCGTTATTGGGCTATTTATAGATGTTTCTTTTGCTTCCACCTCTCCTTTACCTGACAGATATCATCATCAGAAACAATATAGATCAAAGAGATATGAGAAGGTATACTTTGGATCGGCAGGTGGCGCTGTTTACTTTATGAGGGAAGAGCAAAGTCCAGGGCGTTGTATATATGTAACGGTACCGCGCTCCAGACTCCAACTTTGATCATACTTTTAGATTCTCCAGGTAAGTTCATAGATAGATCGACGCTCTATCAAACAAAATTTCAAGTTGCTGGTTGATGACCAAACCTCCTTGCACCATGCACCAGACTCCTTTTGAAGTTGAGGGCTGAATAAATAGTAGAAATCGGCCCAAAAAGGGAATTTCATTGGCCAGAGAAGTTGGCCGCCTAGAGAAGCTCAATTTTACCTGCTCAAGGTAGCCTGAATACCAGACCCATAGCACAGTGACTGGATCCAGAGAGTATCAGTGTGCAGCACAGTAGTACTGAGATACATTGTACTTTCATTCCAGTTTGCTATGGGTCTGGCATCCAGGCTAGCTCAAGGGTGTGCATGGGGTTTGGTCTCTAAAAATTTACTTGTTCCCAGGCTCAGGGTGGGCTCTTTGTGGTTCCAGATGGGCTGTGGTGTGGCACTGTGTTACTAGCAACGCAAGCAAAATTCAGTAATAGCTTCATTAGATCTAGATTTGGGCCATACTGTATATGCAAATTATTGCTCATTAGCATACGGGCACACATTTAGCATACATATTGTTGTACACCACTACACTAGTGCTCTCGTACGTTAACTCATATCCCATGCATATCTGCCCTTTCCATACATATCTCACCTAGTAACGTTAACATCCCATACCCATCTGTTTTGTGTTCTCTGTCTTTCTTCCCAATGCCCATTCTCTGTCCCTTGGCCCATTCTCTATCCCTATGCCCATTCTCCATAAACAGACCTCCCTGTCGACATGTCTGTTCTCACATATAGCTGCATATTCAATGTCATTTCCACTGTCCCACAGTTAGATAGAGCGTGTGGGAAACATGCTGGACAGTCTTCTGTTTGTCATCCTCCTCATCATTGGATACAAGATCTACAAGTGGGTTAAAGGTCGTCCCAGGATCCCTAGAACCTCCGACAAGTCTGTCCTCATCACAGGGTGTGACAGCGGGTTCGGCAGGGAAGATGCCATCCGATTGGACGGTCTGGGGTTTCGTGTGTTTGCGGCATGCCTGACAGAGAAGGGGGAGGTAGAAATACGAAAGAGCTGCTCGGAGAGGGTTGTCACGTTGCGAATTAATGTGGCCAACCATGAGAGCGTCAAGCAAGGACTTCAGACTGTCAGAGATCACGTTGGAGATAAAGGTTAGTCAGACGATTGGAAGGTTCAATATCAGAATGTTATGTATTCTTGTTTCATTTTCATGACACACTCCTTTTCTGTGTAATACCATGGTATGTGTATGTGTGTGTGTGTGTCACTGTGTGTGTGCGTGTCACTGTGTGTGTGTGTCGCAGTGTGTGTGGATTTAACAACCCATTGTCCCTACAGCCAAAAGGCATTCATCATGGGACCTTAATTAACTATAACCCTTCTTTTAATGTTTAATGCTAATCATTAATAATATTAATCCTGTTGATATGCAGGTTTGTGGGGCCTGGTCAACAATGCTGGCATCTCGGGGAGGATTGGCCACATGGACTGGCTGGACCTGCAAGATTACCGCCAGGTTTTTGACATCAACTTCTTTGGCTTGGTAGACGTGACGTACACCTTCCTGCCACTTCTGAAGAAAGCCGGGGGTCGGATAGTCAACATGTCCAGCTGCACCGCTAGGATGGAGCCAGGGACGGGGCCGTACGCTGCCTCCAAGTTCGCAGTGGAGGGATTTTCTGATGGTTTCAGGTATGTCACGATCCAACCTGTGGACATCCTGTTTTGTCCCCAAAATTAAAACAACTGAAGCTGCTGATGAATCAAATTTAAGCCTGAAGGAAGAATTTCCTCAAAGCAAACCTAAGCTACAGCTCTAAAGTGATACGGTACAGTACAGTACTCAGATGCTGACAGACACATTAAAATAGAATCATTTCAGTGCTGCACTCATTGGTGCCCAAACTGTAATAAAAGTTTTGTATCTCTTTTATAATGATTCTTTTCAGACGTACTTTGAAGTCAGCTGGTGTTTCAGTCCATATCATAGAACCTGGCTACTTCAAAACAGCAATAACTAAAGCTGAGAATGTGGCAGAGAAAATGAAAGCATTGTGGGACAGCCTGGACCCTGAAAAAAAGGAAGAGAAAGGAGAGGAATATTTTCAAGCAAGTAAGACGTACTTTTGAATTCATATTTTTCAATATTTCTTTAGGGTACCTTTGCAGTCTGGTGGCATTTTAGTCTATATAATAGAACTTGGCTACTTCAGCACAGTTAAGTCTTTAGCCTCAAGAAAAAAGGCATACAGTCCTTGTAATTGATGGAAATACTAACAAATGGCATATTTTTTCATACTTAAGTTTAATTTCTTATTTTCTGCACAGGAACAGAAGATGTCTTGAAGCATCTAGACTTGATCTGCTCCCCTCGGCTGGATCTCGTGGTGGATGCGATAGAACACGCCCTGACCGCCGTCAGTCCGCACAGTCGCTATGTGTGTGGGTGGGACGCCAAACTGTTCTTCATCCCAGTCTCATGGCTGCCAACTGACATTGGTAGGAGTGCCTTGTCACAAGGTTCATGTACCATTTTGAAACTAATGATGCCCATTAAAGGCCCCTGTTGTATAGCCTGAACAATAAAAAAGTATTGGTTTTCTTTACATAATAAGCCTAAGCTGCCCTATGACAGTTTGCCTAGCAATATTTTGCAGTTGTTGTGACAAACATTTTGAAAACAGACACAGTTTCTGTCACTGCCAGGAAAAAATTGGGAGCAGGGTTACTCTAGAGGGAAACATGCAGATTGAACACAGGTTTTGGGTTCGAGGACTACAGAAGAAAACTTAGATGTGGACTTTTCGATTTGTTTACAAATCAGCTTGGTTTGGGTCTGTAGTACAATATACCAGATTAGTTCAACACAAAGTGGATCAAAGTGTGCTTGTGCTATCTTTTGTGCATAGATACATTTGTGAATGTGTTTAAGAAGTTGTTAAAATTTTGTTCTGGAAGACATTTTCAGTTTCGGCTCCAAGTAGGTGCCTTTTATACCTGCTTTGAGTTTTTAAAAAACAACTTGATATTTTTCTTTTGATACAGTATAGTAAGTGATAAATAATGATTATGATAATAACCAATGTTGTTGTTTTTTTTGTCCATTAGGGGATGCAATCTTTGCTTGGGCAACTCCAAAGTGAGAAGAAACCAGTGCAGCAAAATTCTTTAGCCATGGATTATACAACAACAGATACTGTTATTAATGAATTTCTGCTTCTTGTTAGTTATTATTGCACACATCAAAAATGAATTATGAAAGAAATTTGAAAAAGTAAATCAGACATTAACAAAATTTCATATAGTGGGATGCCACATGTTGTAACTGCTTCACTATCTGACTACACTGGCACATAAAAACAATCTTACATTACTACTCTGATGGTCAAACATTGAGTCAGTGTTCATTACCAACAGGAAGTCACAACCATTTTCTTACTTCAACAAAACATTACAGCCTTTAGTGGATGTATTTGTCATGCTGCACTATTCTTGGTCGAGATTGACACAACAATGTCCAGTCTATCACTATCAGTGATCATAGATAATTATAAGGTCAGCCATGTCGAGATTAATACTCGTCCCATGGATGGCTGGGGCCGTAATACCGCCCGGAGGGTGAACCAGTGGGCGGTTGATAGACGACAACCGATAGACGGAAGGACACCATCACCAACTATTCCACAATCAAGATACCGAATCAACGGAGGGTCAATTTGTCACAACTGTCAAATGAGACAAAAGCTTAGGAAAGTCCCATCCACCCTTGAATGAAATAAATATACACCGCATTTACGGCATACATAACAGGCTTATTTCAACATTACTTGACGTTTGATATCTACATGTGTGTCATTGTCCTATTATACTTATCATTCTATTTTCCTTACAGCGATATTATGTAAGATTTTTGCGCCATAAGTGTAAATATGAAGAATTGAAATTTCTCATCTAGCTTGTCGTGCTCAATAACTTTGCAGTGCAAGACTAAGTTGCGCTAGTCCTGTTGTATTTTAGGAGGCTCCTAAAAAGAATCTAAACAAACAGCAGTTTTCATTTGGGTATCTTCAGCAGCTTCCAACATGTTTTTCAGTGCAACGACGTTGATGTTTCCTCCCAAAATGTCATTATGAACTCAGGTAGGCAAGAAAATGTGTAAAACATCAGTGTTTTATTAATTATCACTATCCAGTTGCAATATGATAGTTTTGAAATCATAAGGAAGCATAAACTAAGGATACTATTGCAGAGGGTAGTATTGTTTTACCAAAACAATGATATACACATTAAGACCATATTATGATTACTAGGAGTATCATAAACTTTGTTAATTTTAAACTAAATTATGGTGGCACATGTACACTAAAGATGATGTTTTACATTCTACGTGTACTTACCATTGATATACTGAGCAGTCTGAGGACTTGCTCTGATTTATGCTTCTGGACAAGCCAGTCAATACACAGAAGGAGCTACTAAAGTAGCGTCCAATTGCTTCTAATAAATTTATCCCAGGTGGTGTCAGCCAGAAGCTTATCCGCTGTTGTTGACTCCCCGGAGGTTTTCTAATGGTAAAGTGGTTTCCATCCTCACTAAAGGTCACTGAACTACATGTAGGTCGACTTCTTGATGTTTGTAAAGAAAACTATTTATCTTCATAACATAAGCATGTTTGAAACATAAGTTCTGTCGCATTTTTATAGACAAATGCATTAGCATCCGTTGCAGGTCCCACATGACGTTTTGTTAACTATACGCGGTTATCTGGTTCTGATTATAATGCCCTATACAGGAAAAGAAAGCATTTTGGGTGGGTTCTGTGAGGGAGGCTACATACGGAGTGAACCAGTACTAGTGAAAGATGGACATGGCGAGCCAGTGGTACCCAGACGAGAAGAAATATCCAATGGCAAAGGGACTGGACTCGGGACATCTATCTCTTGGTGTTCCCCAGGGTACAGATTGACTATGACTGTCATGTATCAACGCAACACTTGCTAGATGATCATGTTTTAGAAATGGAAACGATAATACGATCAATGTGATCCCGTAGATTTGTTTTAAGTCTTGTGCAATTCAGTCTCTTATAAAGACGGCTATAATGTGATGACTATCGTGAACTGCTTTATGAATGATCAATAACAATGCACCATGCATTATATCATCAACAACAACAGTTGCATTACAAGAAAGAGACCACCAGATGGAAACAAGAAAGATTTGTGTCACAAATCAAGCTGATGGAGGCCAAATATACTAAGTATACGGGTGGTGACCTGATGCTCAGTAAATTCAGTACGTTGTAGTATAAAACCAACATGTTGAATCAGGTGAATTCGGAAACTACTGTTTCACCAAGGTGTGATGATGATCGGAATCTATAAACTGGTGTGAATCTGTGGATAGAGTAAAAGCGGCGTTTGCAGACACCCAGGTGCAAGTAAACACTACTTTTTCCTTTTTTTCTTTCTTTTGAGTTTAGTATAACTGATTCTCTTTTCAACATGATCACAGACAGCTCAACTAGGAAGACTGTAGCAATTATGAGCACAGTGGCAGTGCATCATGTTTTGTATGCCCATGTTAGGTCTTCATCTTGTTAGCTCACTGGCTGGTGTCTGAATATGCTACAGGAGAGAGACGTTTGTCGGTGAACTTGATCCCGGGGCGCGCGATTCGAAGGAGTTCTCTGGTTCGCTGCCCTGTTTTAGGCCAGCGACTGCCCATGCGTGACAAAATTTCATAAAAAGAAGACTATCAAACAGTAAATCGTCTGGCCTCAGCTTGGATTAACAAGATCAGAGATAGCATGTCCAGGGTATGCAGGGCAAAGTCAAAAGCCAATTACATGCCCGAATCTTTTATTCAGGGTGACGCGCTTACGTAAACCGCAAAAGACGTAAGGGCCATGGTCATGTCAAACACATGTGATAAGAACAGTCTCAGGGATCAATCTATGATTAGCTTTATTCCCAGTGACGACGTAGGGGAGGCACAGATTTAAGCTGTGGAGCGGCTCCAAAATCATCCCAGTCTGGCACTATGTTAGTTGAGCTTTGCCAAGATGCCCAACCACCTGCGGCTGAGAAAGTTTTGAGTGACGTCCACTAATAAAAGATAACTCGGCAAAATGCTCCGTGTACACACATATCACAGTGCCTTTGACAATTTCTCATGTTTTCAAAGACATCGCCGGAACACTTAAACGAACAATGTCGCACATGATAGACGTTCACTAAAAATAATGCAACCTTCAAACAGACCAGACAAAACAACACACAGAACAGCAACTATACCCATGGAGGTAGTTTTTTTCTACCTCCATGCTATACCTAAATGTGTCAGAAGAGATAACTAAATGCTTGTGACCCTGTGTTATTTTATGTCTCTGAAATGTGACATGGATACCGTTACCAGGTAACAAACATGAGGGCCACGATGATTAGATCCTGATTAGCTCACCATACAGATTATGTTCTTTTGTAGAACTTAGTGCCACAGGTGGTAAAAGAATGGAGGCAATTACATTTCCTTCGAATGATTTGTTCTCTCTGTAGCCCACATCTACACTTTTTTAGAAGAAACTCCTACTCTCCTCCCTGTGTGAGTTTGTCATCAAAAGAAGAAAGATTGACTCGAAAAGGCGTGGGAGGCGACAAGTAGCTGGCGAGTCCATGCACGTTCCTCAGGGGAGGAGGCAGGGCAGCATCAACTTAAAGGGGCCATACTGATCAATATATAACTGATATGCTTTCCTGAGGAGACGTATCCGTCTGGTCAAGAAACATTGACGACTGCAAGCTAGGCGTGGAGCTGGTCTAGCTCGTACCCTCCAGTCGTCGTAGGCCCATGGTATGTCCCAATTCGAAGTTCAAACCGTCTTAGTTGACGGTGATCCCGCCTACCTCCCCTCTGAAAAAAATGCATGATTTTAATACGTGTGGGCACCGCTGATGTCACATCTGCAGCTGGTACTTAGTAACGAAGAAAGAGACGTCATCTTGTAATTAGCAGTCGGTAATGCTCAGCAGTGCTTGCTTCAGTCGGCCTCCTGTCAGGCACCCCGCCGCCATACCGAGATCGATTGGACTACATTAGGCAAGACCACGATCACACCACTTTATATACAACTCCACAAAGGTCGGTCCTCCTCAGTTCTTCAGTTGACTCGACCTATCAGACACCAGGCGGACGTATAAAGAGAGGGGACGAGCGACTACGAAGTCCTTCTGCAATCGCCTCGCAGGCCCGGCTGCCGAAGAGCCATGCAGATGCTGAACTTTCTCAACAGAGACATGCGGTCGAGGAAGATCCCAACAGTTCTCTTGGTAGGAAAAACGTTTTTGTCTTATTTGTTTCTGCCTTTTTCTTACTTCTGCAGACAGCCAACGAATTGGGCTGGCGTAACTTTTCAACGCTGGTAACGAGCATGATTGCCGTTTTCTTCATGCACACGGGGCCAAGCACGGCTTCGAGCTCTGTGAGATGTTTGTCAATCTAGATATCCTATTTAGAAACGCATCTGGCTATGAAAATTCCACAATTATCATTTGAAAAATTTCCATTTGAAATTCCCAACAGCTTTCACAAGGTGAAAACGACACGAAATTCCAGCCATCTAAATAACATCAACTGTTTCAGCACCATGGACCAAAGCACAACGTAGAGGGACTAGGGAAACATGATTCCACTCATTACGTTTAAGGGTCCGTAACCATAGTTAAAATATACTAAATTAAACCGCCATCCTAAATTCGTTAGATATCTGTCTACTGCATAGACCAAACCACAAGGACACCAAGAAAAGCGAGAGCAATCTCTTTGTTGAGGGACCGTGTAGCCATCGTCTGAAACAGTTTACCAGTTACACGTACGAACCAAACCCTGTCTCTTTTTAGAAGCTTTTACGATATTAGTAAAACAACTGTGAAGCTTGCGTGCGTCTGGCGGCGTCCCAAAGATATCTTACAAATAGAAGTGTCACCACCAGACACACACTAAATGCGTCAGAAGAAAGGCGGGAATCGAGAAAGTGCCCGCTCCGTCACCTCGATCTTCCTCCAAGAACTCCGCCTGGTTGGTACGGAGGGTAAACTCGTAATTCATAGGGTTATCACAGTTTGGACGTCGTCTTGCCGTTTACAGGTTTTTCTTTTCACCTCCGTGGATGAGGCCATGGTCTAGGAAAAATTGCAAACTATAGGAGAAAGGGGGAACCTATAGCAGTCCAAACTAGCTATTAGCAGCACGCCTCAGTGCACACAAAATATGTACACTTTATACAAACCTTCCCCAAGGGAAGAAAAATGTGGGGTCATTTATCATGCCAAGGATCTGCGAACAGAGGGCCTTATCATACATGTGTAAAGCTGAACACTCGTTGAAAACCTGGTTCCAAGAATACAAGTTCCCCAGCTCTGGATCTTCTGACTGCCCATTGTAAAGTAAGCATGTCATGTTTGAAACAGCGCAAGTTTTAAACCGCTCCTCGCCGTTATAAAAAAATCAAAAAGCATCATGTATGGTATCACTTGTAGTACGATTTTTGGCACTAGATGGGGAATATGAAAATTGAAAAATTTGCCAAAGTGTACACTCTGGTACACCCTGGTCTTAGAATAGCCGATAGCTTTCAAATCAACTAGTGAAATCAACCTCCACTTTTACTTATGGAGAACAAAATACAAATCATGACCAGAAGGCAGATTTTTTTCGGTTGTATTTTGAGATTGAAACAAAAACAAAATTTGATGAAATTACATCTGACTATATATGACAACCAGTATTGAAGCAATACGATGGCGTTCAACTTGCAGAAGGGTTACTTTTCATTCGGCCCTGATGAATCGTAAGAGTTAAATGTATAAGCCACAAAACCATATTCTACTACAAATCAATTCTATATTCATATGTATATTACGGCAAACATTTTTTAAAAATCTTATAGCCATGTTTTATGTACTCTAGCTCCTGGGATTTTCTTCTGTGAACTATGAATTTTTGATAGTGTTTATTTGAGAGGGTCCGATGATCTTAAGATGCCCCAAAACGCCTGGTCTATGACACTGAAATACCGTGACTTAGCTCCGACCGCCACCATGTTGATATTCCTATGACGTCACGTGAAAACGCTCTGCAAGTGACCGACCCATGTCAGTGTGTGCAAAAAGTTTGCCAACTTCCTGCCGGAAAGTTTTGGTGCGTCTTTTATAGCTGACTTTGCGTTATATACTTTTAATCATCGAAGACTGTAAAAGTAACTATTGATTCTTCAAGCACCACAATGGAAAAGCCATCCACCCTTTTGTTTGTCAAATCATGAAAGTTCCGTGACTCAAAACCCGTAATCTACCAACCATCGCGTCTTTTCCAAACTTAGAATTAGATGTCGAAAGGTTGTGGAAAATGACGCCACTCCTTACAATGAAGATGCCAGCAGGTCACGGCAACGATTACGTCAAGTAAGCAAAGAATTCAATCTTTCACGGAGAGACCTCTATAGTTGTCGCCCGGATACATAGATATTGAAGGATGGGCGTGTCTGATAAAGGGTCAGGTCCCTTGCCTCACCTTTAGGAGGGTCTGCATAGGGGGATCCTGGCTAACGGTGAATTCAGGCAATGGTTACCGGTAAATTAACTTTTTATTGCGAAAGGATTTGGGAATTCATTGGATTGCAATTGTTGCACTGTATTCATGGGATGTCTGACAAAACTAGTCTGTGAACACCGACACGATCAGATGCTTCATGCCGTTCGACTTCGTCATACGAATAATTTGTCAATGACGCTTAACTATACATTCGGGATAACAAATAACGTGCTGCGTAGAATTAAAGCGACTAGGTATGCTTCACGGATAATTCATACCTACAACGCTAGAGCGTTTACGTTGAACAGGAGCGAATCGGCTACGAGGAACGGTGAAATAAAACAGCTCGCTAGGCCTCGTAAAAATACATGCAGATCCCCCTACAGAACCGATCCGCGTGTCCACAGCAGACCCTTGAGCAACATCCAAAACTTTGCGTCATATGCAGACCAAATCGATCGACCCCGCTGACACCAATTTCTCCCCGCGCGCTCGTAGCTTCCCCAGTGACAAACGATCGAGGTCCGAAGCCATTTTTCTCCTCATTTATTTCAGCCAGTCGAGGTCAGTTTCTCAGCATTGCGTCATCACCAGTGCACATTACGCAGCCAGGCAGCATACATAGTGGTGGGCGTATTTTTTGGCGATAAAATCATCTTTAGCTTGTCTTATATCTCCAAGCTGAAGACGGGAGGAGAACAAATGAATACGTCTCTATACTGTAGTATACATGATCCGGCCGGGAACTTGATGTGCGAGAACGAAAGGTAGATATAAAAGACAAGAACATAAAAAAATGTGGGAAAAATCAAATTATGGGCACTATTTATGTATAATTAGCAGCAGCTACAGCAAGCAGCTCGGCCCCGCCCCGGTTTGGAAACGTGACTTTATTATTAGATACAAGCACAACAGGCCGGGATTCGTTATAGACTTCTATAACTGTGTAGATATACAAAGGCAAATACGATGACCTGAACATAGTAATAGTAGGGTATAAATATGAGTATATCATATTGTATATGGAATTTACCGATTACACGACAGTTTATTAGATCTAAACATTCTCTAATATATTTTCCTACTTGAACACTGTAGGGATATAAGAGAAACATTCTAACTTGAAAAGTTGAATGGTGATTCGAAGCTACAATCTCCACATCGACTGCAGTCTCTGTAGACCCACTTGGTTGTGTGTTAGCTGCGCGGAGATCAAATTGATAAATGTTTGTTGTTGCTTCTGACTTCCCAATGGACATTCAACACCCCAAAATGAATCTGTTGGGAGCTGTGAGGGCAAACTCGCTAATAGGGAAGGGTAGGCTAATTGGTGGTATTTCAGGTGGCCAGATCGTCACAGTTGTTTTGATACTGACAACAAATCAAAGAGCATTGGGGGCATTAAGAAGATTTACTTCAGTTTATTGATGCCCTACTAAATATTTTCCGGTCAAAAATAATGCATCAGATGCCTTTAAAGAAACTGAGACAGAGATAAAATTTTAAAATTTACTTCATTTGAGATCAAAAGAGCTTGTACTGATGTATGTTATATTTTCAACGCCCACAGACCTGTACGGAAGGTGTGGTACTGTGTTACTCCAGCCGTCCTTGACATCAGCGCTCGTGACATTCTTTCCAGTTTCTACTGAGTACATGTCTACGTCATACTGCGGGGTGTTTGTCACATTGCACGAAACTCGCCTGCCTGATTGATTACGCTTATAACAGCCCTTCCACTGGTTAGTTCCCCCTACTGCATTCAAATACCTGTACACACTACGGTACAAGCACACACACACACACACACACACACACACACACACACACACACACACACACACACACACACACACACACACACACACACACACACACACACATATTGCGTTTTGTGTACCGTGCATGTCAGGACGTTTTGGGAATTCATGCTGTATGTTGAATGGTTTTGTTGTCTGTGGTTTCCCTCAGGGTTTGTTCCTGATGGTTGTGGTACTGAGCTGTCCGGCGGCTGATGGTGCCTCCGCCAGACGGCGATGTCGCCCAATCTCCCAGGCAGAGCTCATCAGTAGGCTCGGTACGGCCTACAACCGCAGATACATGGCCACGTCATTACCAGAGGCGCAAAGAATGAGCAGCCTTCCAAGTCAGTACGACATGCCGGATACTTACGACGCACCGACCAGAATGGACACCGTCCCTTCCCCACTGCTAAACCGCACGATGCTTACCAGCCTGGTCACCGGTCGTAGGCGAAGACCAAGCATCGGAACGATAGGCAAGGTCCGCCGGCACACGGAGAACGAGCCTTTCGCCGAGTCGCACCCTTTACCTTGGGAGTGCAAGGAGCGGTCGGTATGGCACGACCTTGGGCCCAACCACTTCCCGAGATACCTGCGGTCCGTGGAGTGTGAACAACACAGTTGTTGGTACGGCCACTACACCTGCAAACCGCGCTCCTTTGTTGTCAAGATCCTGGAGCAGAAAAGGATGACCGGAGACTGCGCTTTCGAAGACCAGTGGCACATGAAGGAACACCTGCTCACGTTTTGCTGCGACTGTGCGCGACCGTGATTTTTTTAGTAAAAAGCACACCATGCTTATTGTGTAGCGTGTAGTTTGAAAGTTTAGGATGGGTCAGCAGTTGGTTTCTTGAAAAATGTGTGTTGTAGATGAAAAGAATCGATGAGCAAACTGGCAAAAATTGTTGCTACATGTAGTAAGTACCTAAACTTTCTTCAAACATATATAACATACTATCGTACGGATTTTGACATATTTCATGAAGCTAAAATTTAGGACCGTAGACACAACTTCACTATATAACAGAAATATCAGGCTTGTAAAATCATGCCTACATCTCCATGTACGTGTAATGTGACGGTAACCAACCCCAGGTGCGGATGAGCTGCGCCATTGTAAACCTGTTGCTAAACATAGCGCTGTCTGAGAGCACAATCGGTGAGCTTCTATCACACCAGAAAGGTAGCGTTTGGCTGTGATAATATTTTTGTAACTCCGTGTGGTTCCTGAGCGATGTCTTGATGTGATCAATGTATACATAATCGGAATGCAAGGAGATATATAAAACAGTACCATAGAATATACGTATTGTATATGACGTCTGTTGTGTCTGAACAAATAGATACAAGTACGACACGAGTTATAACCAGATCTAGGTGTTCTTAATTTCTTGTAATGAAGAGACGCACACGAAAGGTGACATGCTCCTATAGAGTCCTATTGCCAGGATCGTTTGTGTATATCACACAACCACCCCGCTTGCGATCCCCCTTCTCGCTGCGGTTAGGCATAGCCAGTCGTCACCAGCCAATCACGTCGTCGCCAATGTTCAAGAGGGAACGTGATTGGCTGGTAACTTTCCCGTCCATCATAAGGAGGGGAATATCTGATTGGCTGACGGTTGGACAAGGTTAACACAGCGAAAAGGCGGGATGCAGGCCGATGTTACAGGGTCGTTGCACAAGCGGAGACCCTGGCCTGGGAGGATGGGAAGGTGATAGAATACACATATCAGGTCTTTGTTGATAGATCAGAGTTATCTCTGAGTCAGTGTACGCTGCTGTCCCGTTCTTCAAGTGTGTGTGTGTGTATCAATAAACATGATTGCTTAAGGCGGCCTTGTACCCCCCAGGACACACAGTGCCTGTGTCAGAGACCAATGACGAATCGGAGATGTACATGCCTCATGTGTCTAACAAAATGCGATAGAATCTTGTTTCATGCCTACAAATGCAGTCTGTTACTTCCATGAATTTCTGGTTGACATTGATAAGGTAATAAGGACATTTCTTCATAAGTGCTTATAAAATTTCAAAGGTAATCTAAGTTAGATATCTTGCATGAATGTGAACGATGTCCGAATGCATCTTTACACAGAAATATCGAGATATAGACCGCTCCGAGATGTCAATCAAAATTAGCTATTCGGCCCATAAGAAAGCGGGATTTGGACATCAGTGGGCGTGTCCGCCATTTGTCCGTCAAAGTTCTGCCGTGGGCTGAGCTATATTTGTATATACCGCTATGGTAACCTGTCGATATTTGTTGTATGATGGATGTTACATTATTATAATCAAGAAAATTGAATATCATGTTACTTTATTTTTAATGTGATGAGATTACTATCTTGTCTTTTGCACGTCAGAATCGAAATGTGTATAACGTTAAATAATATTGTTTTATTCGTTGGAGTTAAAGGTTGAGTTAAAGATAAAAACAAGGCGCTTACTTAACTTCTATCCATGTGTTTCTTTCTGGCAATGTAGGTAAACCGAACCATGTCGCAACAGGTACGAGTAGATAGCTCTATTACAGTGGATTTTTCTCCGAGAAAGGGATGTATTTTTTTCTGGTTGTACCTGGAAATATTCATTGCCTGATGATATCTTAAGGAATATGTGTCCAAGACAATGCGTTTCCTCAAAGAATTGTAAAAGCATGATAAGCACAATTCAAACCTTGAATAAAAGCTGAGACTGTTATGCAACTGCCTTGAGCTGGTTCTTTTTGTCACCATACGCCAAAGGAGATAGGGTTCAGGAATACAAACTTTCAATAAGGAATTTGTGATGATAAAAGTGAGATAATGATCAGACGAAAAAAAAGCAATAGGAATTCCATACCTGTGATTCTGGGCATGCCAAACATAGTGATTTTTAAACGATATCCCCGGCCATAGAACCTAAGTTCTATAGGCTTCTGCCGATAGGATAGCACATGTAGTATTCTTCCTTTTTGTCCCAGGAGGTGGTGTAAGCTTCCGTAAGTTGCCAAGAGACTTCGGGAAGCTACACACGTGGCTTGTTAGAGTAAGACTTAGCACAAAAGCACACTTAAGAGCATTTGCATGTTGCTAATATACATGATAGCATCACTTTAAATGCGGACAGAAAACATGACTTGGGAGTGAAAAGCCTCAAAACCGACAAAACTAACATCGAAACTATCTTTTGCATCGTAAGTGTACCACGCTATACCAGGGACAAGATGCAGAGTGAGCTACCCTCCAGGCCCGACCTTTTTCCGTGATCAGTGGAACGATCATCCGCCCCCGCCCACTGCTGCCCCGGCTCACGGGGTGTCGCCTCGGGTCGGCTCAAACTCGCCGATTAACGAGTTCGATAACTTTTGGCAGCCATGTTTATTCCAGGTCTAATGCCACACAGCGGCAGAGTATCGACGTTTCTATCAGGAGATATTGCCAGAGGATCTCTCAAAATATTTTCAAAGAATGAGTCTTAACAATCCTGTGTGTGGGAGGAATGTCCTCAACATGCGGGTCACGGGATATGTGCATATGTAATCAGTACCATCCTCCATACAGAACACCCATCTCTCTTCAAGTTCAGCTCGAAAGGTCATCTGTGTTGTTACAATTCATATCCTGCAACAGAATTCAACTGTAATTCTCAACACAAACGAAAAGTACGACTTACTCAGCACCAGTCTTAAATGGAACGAGCAATCCACGGTTTGTAACGTCACTTTATGCAGATAGACCACATCACTTGGTGAGCATTGGGCCAAAAGTTGCCGGACATTTATGGCGTCCCCTCACCACAAAGTTTTTAAAAAATCTTGGACGCAAAACCTTGGGCTTATCGAGGCGAGAGAGTAAAAGCATAAGCCATATCAAGACATTAGGGCCATGAGGACATCCCTTAATTGGAGACGCCATAATTTTCTGCCACTTTTGATCTACTACTCAGTAAGTCAAGTGACCTAGCTGCATAAAATGGTGTCGAAGAAGTGACATGGGTTGTATTTTCATTGACACGTCTTTTAGTCACCTGTGGTTTCTTACACATTTACTAAAATTCAACTAATTTCACATTGTTTAAGAAAATATGTCGATTATGTTTTTTCAATCATAGAGCCCACCTGAGCTAGCCTGTGTGTGTACAAAGTACTACAAACGCGGTATAGAAAAACAGAATATATAGATTTATTTTGTTATCTTTGATCAAAATCAAATCGCAACAAACATGCACAACAGAGTAGGGACAGTTAATGGACAACAAATGTAATATAAAAACAGAATATACAAATTAATTTTGTCATATTAAAGTTTATCAAAAGCCAATCGCAACAAACATGCACAACTGCGTTGGACAGTGGGTGGCACATAATCATTTTGCTATAGATTGACATTTTTCACCTATAATCTACACACAACATACCGCGGGGATATCAATTAGTGAATCTCAATCGGCATGACAGAATTTGAAGAATAAAATACAGCACCTGATAGTGTTCATGTACAATTTGATATAACGTGCAACACAACAACAACAACCACAACCATATAGTATGTAGCAATCGTTCACTCAATATGTACATTTTGTAGTATAGTGTACAGCAGTTATGAAAGAGCACCCATACTTGTACTACAAAAACAAGAACATTATGAACACAGAGGCAAATGAAAATTCTTCATGCACTGATCTGGCTATAAATGATTATTAGATTAGTTTTTTTTACTACTTAATACAAAAACTTGTATGTAATCTTCCTGAACTTTAGACCTTCTAAGATGAGATTCTAACAAAAATCACCAAGGTCTATCGATAAAATGTACTTATGCCTTTGTAGTACGAACTAACAAGTCATGCAGTCTAGTTGAGTCTGTGAACGCAGAATAAGTAAGAAATGACTTCACGCAAGAGTTTATTCTAATTTGTCTGAGGAAATCACAATGTGGTATTAAGCCTGGTCACCAGTCTCTGTCTAACCTACATGGTTCTCGGCAGTGTAAGCTGGTATCCCTACCTGACCAACTTGGGCTAACCACCCCGGTGATTTTGCCTACGTCCTAAAGTGCCCAAGAGCTACCCTGGGAGCGGTCTGGGTTCCAGGTTAACAATGTGGCCGAGGTCACGCAGCGAAATAACTATTAAACATTTCCTGAATTTTGTGGTCATCAAACATATTCGTCCTACTTGTTACCTGGCACAAATTACAACAAAATTTGCATCTTATTTCAGTCTTGAGGTACATTGACAACAGATACTCGTCACTGTTTTCTTTGACACACATCAATAAAGTGTCACCATGGAATATACTGCAACTGTAGGCATTAGCCAGTAATCTCAAATACTTTTTATACAAACAACAGTTAAGGGAGGACGTGGGGTGTGTGAAAATGTAAGTTGAAAATCTTGCATTGTGAGCTTTGGGTATTTATCTGAACAAATCATTCTACAAACATTTTCACCCCTTCCCAACACGACCCTCCCTGGTTAATCTATCATTAAGCAAGGACATTATTGCCTAGAGTAACATCAAGGCACGAACGGCAAAGAACCTCCCGTTTGTTCTGCTCATCTTGGGTCCAGCTTGAAAAGTTTCTGTGCTTGGTGCAGTCCCACCAGCGTCCGCCAGACAGCGTTGAAGAACCCGGTCGTGTCGTATGGCACGTCGTGCTTTCTGCACAGCTCTTGGATCATGGAGCCCACCTGACATTAAATATGAAAATTACAAGGTTACTGATCTACACGGCTTTCTAAATCCTTGTGGTAAACGAGTGTACTGACTGACCGACCTAGATGAAATGTTCACCGCATGATTCCTACACCCATCGGAGGGATTAAAAAGTCATTAAGGGAGGTTTTATTTTTGCTATAATTATGCGTTGTGTCAGATTATGATGTCTGGCATGATTGAGTCTGGTTTTACCTGGCGCATACAGTGTCTGGGCACGCGCGGGAAGCAGTGGTGCTCGATGTGGAAGTTGAGGCCGCCGTGGAACCAGTCCATCCACCAGGGGTTGGTGATGTTGATGTTCTGCATCACCTGTGGCAAGTAGAACACAAAAAACGCGATCTTTGTTTTGTTTGTTTCTTTGTACCAAGATGTTGAAAGCGTGTGACTCAACCTGATCTTAACTTCACTCTACTTCATACTATTCACAAGCCTTACCGACCGACAGACCGACCAGTCAACCGACCGTCGACCATCAATGACCAAAGAAGATTACCTGGTATCTGTAGAACTCCATATCGTGCATCTCCTCCTTCTGGTACATGTCCTTGGAGTAATGACTGATCAGCAGCTGTATGTGTAACACGCCTTCACCCAACATCGCCACACCGTAGAACAAACACCGTTCCTGGAAATAACAGACACTTTGAATGAATATGCGTTGATATTTGATCCACTATATGATAACGTCGAACAATTACACTGTACGTGCTAAAACACTTTATACGCACATATCACATTTCGGAGGTTTTCATCAATATATCATTAGACGCCTGCTTTGCCTTAGCTAGGTGGTTGATGCCCACGACATAGGCAGACAGATCATAGATAGATAGATGGACGGACAGATGGATAAATACATTGTAGGCATACGTAGAACATATATGGATGGATAGACAGATGGATTGACAGATGGATAGATGAATGGATAGATGGAAGGAAGAGGCTGTAACTTTTAGTAATTCTTTAGGACAATCAATAATTGATCTCAAATACATCTTACAGACAGTCAGGTTTTTTGTATAGCGTAATGGTACTATTTGTATTGTGGACACTTGCATGTACGTACCTCCCAGTTGGGCAGCAGGGACAGGAGGAGAGCCATGGCGATCCAGTGCACACAGAAGGCCGCCCAGGTGCCCAGGTCCGTCTCCCGCTTCATACTGTCGATGATGATACCAAACCGGCCGGCGATCATGCACACAGGGATGAAAATGATGTGCTGTATCTGTAAGAAGAACAGTCGTCAGGTACTTAATTTGTGACAACAAATACTTCGTTACTTCTGACTCAAAAGAAAGAGTAGTTTAAAATGCAGGTACATGTTAAAGACGATGATTATAGCTTACGTTCCTATTAACGTGTGTATTTAGAAATGACAGTAGTATAGCGTGAAAAGAAGACTAATTAAAGGCGGAGGTGCGTGAGCTTCATACAAGATACTACTAACGTCCACAATCGGCCACGATTGACTCATAAGGCGCTTGGCTTTTGAAAGTTGATCCTAGAAAGGGTTGAAGCGTTACCTTGATAAGGAGCGCCTGGATGTGGGTCTGAAAGAGCGGGAATAACTTAGTGTTCTGGGCCCAGACGGGCTCCCACATTTGCGGGTCCACGAAGTTGTCTTCGTACGAGACACTGTTGAGGAGCACGTGGTGTACCCAGTGTTCATCCCGCCACCAGTTTGCACTCATGCCGAAACTCAGCGGCGCCACCACGAGTCCCGCCAGGTAGGTTAGCCGTTGGTTGTCGAACGCCTGGTGGTGGAGAATGTCGTGCATGAGCATACCGTTCTGCTGCCAGAAAAGCGCCAGGAAAACTCCCGCCAGCCCGTGCGCCCAGGACGACTGAAACCCGGCCACGAAAGTGATGACTAAGGAGAGCAGTACCAAACACACGGCGTACTTCTTGGCATACCACCTCAAGTCCGGTTTGAAATATCCCTCCTTCTGCAGCCTGTTGTATAGTTCCCGCATGTCGCGGTTGAACGGGTCCTCCGTCACACTGTTGGTGTAGGAGCCGACGGCCTTTAAATACTTGATAAGGTGCTCCCCTCCCTTCGGATGGACGCTTCGGAACACATCCGTGGCGTCCTTGTTGATGAAGTAGTTGATGATTTCCCCACCAGGGTGGCGGTGCACGAAACTGGTGACGTCGTACCACTTGCCCTCCACCCCCACGAGTTTACGGTTGGTGGCCAGACCGTTAGGAGAGGGCTGGGGGAAACGCCGCTCCGCACCAGTCGTACCATTATACTGCTCCACGATACCCATGGTCCTAGAAAAAAAGAGAAGAGAGTCTTAGTCAGATCATCGTTGGCCGAATTTATAATTCTATCTTTACCAAAGAGCAAACCAATCACATGAATCAATGAAATAAGTATGGGTAAATTTTCATACACTATCAGGAGAAAACTTAGAGTTCAGAAAGGTACATTCAGACCCAACCTTGACTCTAGCGTGGTTCGTCTGCTCAGGGCAAAATGTTCGTTAATGTTTAACATGGTCCTCAATAAGGTCAGGTGCAACGTTCCGTCTGATTGGTGCGACAAATTTGACGGATGGCAATCAAAAACTCACTTTGCACATAGTGACTTTTCAAACAATACATTAATTGCCTAGGAGGTAAGTACAACAAGTCTGGGTAATCAAACTATGACGTACATTCGACCGTTTGAATCGGCCGGTGACGACCATAGTCACGGTTGCCAGTTAACGGAAACGCTGTTAGCGGTAACGTTAACGTGCCCAAACGCACGAACGTTGTGCTGTCTGAGTTTGTTCAATACTCAAACAGAACAAGTCATTTGTAGTGCCATGCAAATACCCCGCGCCTGGTCAGGCGGTGACGTAAGTCTAGTTCGGCGGGAAAATCGTGACCTTTTCCTGACGATTTTTTTCTGTCAGTATTGAGGGGAGCTGGGTGTTGTGGAGGTGAGTTGGCTTTTTCGGTCATAGCTGCCCCCAAGGTAGTTGTCGGAAAACATGGTGGAGTTGAAAAGGTCACGACTTTTCTTCTTAAGATCCGCGTGGAGAGTATGGACACAGGGATTTGTTTGCAAGGCATCGCCTAAGCAGTGACGTCACTGTATCATGCGCGCACAATCACTCTCTCTTAGATATGGCCCTGGGTCCTGCCTGCCACCAGGCAGTTACACATAACTGCAAGAGACAAACTGATTTTAAACTCGCAAAGCTCTAATCAGTCGAGCTAAAACACCAAACAATCCTTGTTTACCCCCAACAGCAACAAATTTACTAAAGGAATAAACAAGAACAAAGACAAAAGCCGCTGTGACTAGAGTCAGCTGCCCGGTTTGTCGATTTTTGGGCGTAAAATGGTATTGGTCTCTTCCCCTTAGTATTAACAACTCAAAACTGCATTGTCAATCATTGAACGGCACTAGTACTGTGGCAAGCGATATCCTAGTTCTTGTTTGCTTCAATATTATGATCGTATAATCGTAACTCTTTAAATACAGGTGGTCGTTAGCTGTAAGGTTCCCGCTTTTTTCCGTGTCAGCGAGTTTCCAATCTATTCTTAGTCGTTATTTTAAAGTTTGAGACTACCAGCGAACGAGACAGTCAGAAAATGGGACTGCTAAAAACTCTTGAATCGAGCAGGGTCATACGTGTATAACGTCCGTTTAAGCCTTACGTAACACACAATACGTGTAATGAGGTGACCCAACAGACCCCGCCCCTTGCCCCAGACATCTTCTGGAATTCCTAGACAGTATCATTGTTAACATACTTACTAGTCCAATGTGACGTGTTCGTCGTGCATTTACTGCACCACGACAGGTATCACGTTACAGCTCAACATATGTGTTGAAAAGTATGTAACCGTCAGTTATAGCGATGGAAGAAACAGGTGTTGACCCTATTATGCAACAGCGATTATCAACCATGACCATCGTCGGCATTCGCTTTCAAGCGGTACCAGTCAGAAACAGTATACCTGTGTGACTACAACGGAACTACGTTTGCTAGGAAATTTGTTTGCCCACATGTAACCTATCGCACCGCTATCTAACGGACCATAAATGGGCGGGACCGTTTAGCCTATCGTCTGCAAGTTTTTTGGCGCGCATGTGGTTTGTGGGAGGGGGGTTGAAGCGTTCCAACGCCAGAAATACTAGTAACAACAAATCCACATAGCCGTCATGGTTGGCTACGTGCCGCTTGTCACAGCGACTATATATATCACACTGCCATGGTATGTAACAGTTACTGGGTTAAAACAACAGCACTTCTACAATTTGCTATTACAACATTACACGTACAGTACATGTGTTTCTAATAGTACAGGTGAATGGCAAGGACAAGTGACCCCCCCCCTGAAATGAACTCCCCATAGACTATTAACCCGAAGACAATGCATAACGATGAAAGATATTATGTTACATGAACTAATTATGTACATTAGATATGAACCAAGCAGACGTGCATAGGCCGTTTTCGGCACTTCTATGCACCTGTTGCTGTAGGCGTACCCCCATACATAATGACACCATAAGGTCGTGTACCCTACACTTCATTTACTACAGGTGCACCATATTATATTAGGTCTGACACTAAATAGCGATCACGCGACGACCAGAGTATAATTACTGAATACGTTAGAAGCCACTGGAATATTTTAGAACCCACTCTGTCGTACACTGGCGACTTCTATTTGCTGTGGATCTATCCTGGCGGTTCGGTAAAAACCGCCAAACGCCGCCGGCAACTCCCAGGTGCCTTGGAGGTGACGTGAGCTCACGCCGTTGGTTAGGAAACACGTGTAACGTATATAAGTGTGACTGGGCCGTGTACATACACACTCAACTACCGGGACATTCTGTCGTGAGGCTACGTACTCACCTGTACCTGGTGAAAATGTCTGTGATCGGAAGAAACCGTTTGGTTCCGCCTGTATGGGTTCTGGATCTGTATACCGGCACCGCCTGCTTTACTACTGGAAACCCACCTGTCGAATTCCGGTCTTGTTTGCTGTTGCGTGGTGCACAGGGGCACACCCTATCAGCAGGTTGGGAACCAAAAGACGGGTTCCGCCCGTTGATAAATTGGGACAGTCCATTTCTTACTGCCGGGGGTTGCTCGCTGTTGAGTAATTAAAACCTCGTAGGCAAACCAAGAGCCAGTGCAGTATTGTTTCCCATCGCAGACACACGAACACTATTCATATAAACATAAGAGTGGCAGCATTGCGGGGAAGGTTATAAATGTCCTTTATCAAGACCGCGCGCACGAACGTTCACTCCTATTTTTGCGAGTAACCCGGTCCATGAAAGGCACCGTGTTTACCTGTCCTCACCTTGACAACTCTGACAACATGGGGCACTTTTGTTCTCGTTCCTTTTCATTATCACGGCGGATTTACCAGACAATACATTCTGGGAGACTGGGCCAGGGATGGGCCTACGGTAAGACCGTAAACGTGGATCACCAGCAAACAAAAAGAACGAAATACTGGGAGAAGTTTGACCTATTTTTGTGTGGTCGAGGCTAGCGAGAGGTGGATCTTTTGTAAGGGATAGTACGATGTTCAGCGGGTTGGAACGGAGAAAGTCCTGCCTACAAATTAAGGAACCTTCCCTTGGGAACAGGGAAATTAATCATTCCTCTATTTAAACCAATCACGATTATGTTAGTTCATGCAAGGACATTGTTTTTGGTCCATGAAAGGCAATACATCAAATTAGAACAGGTATTATCATAAGGAAGTGACCTACAGGTTAAAATGTCAGTCGCGTGACCTTTACGGTTTTTCAGACAACAGAAATACACAATAGACAGTTAGCCCGGTTTCACTCGCCATTGCGGACTCGCCAACTGGTCCGAAAAATTTACAAAACACTTCACGGTGTCTGCTTTCTTACTGTTGTCTAGCTTCACTAGAGGTCATATTTGTTGTTAATTGCGGCCAAACATATTGACTAGCTCATTAGCATTAATTATACAAACTGACTAAATAATTGTCTTCATCTTATTTACTTAAGTTTATAATATATGTCTAAGGATTTGGAAGGTCCGTAGATCCCCTCCCTCCAAGCAAACTCAGCTCCCCATTTTAACACCTGGGTGAAGGAAGTTGTGTAAAGTAGCTTTCCCAACATGTAGCCTGGCATGCCAGTTATGCATCGTAATTTCAAACACCTGGAATTGTCTGTCGGTGGCTTTAGGAATTTCCAATCACTGTACTGGGAGAGTTCGTTGCACTTTACAATTTAAGGCAAATATTCCAATTATCAGTCTCAATAAAGTGGACGAGGAGTCGTATTTGACTTCATAGTAAAACTAGATCTAGCTCGAAAAGAAACAAAATCACTGTCGCTGTGCTATTCAAAGAATAAAATGAGACCACAAGAAAACAAAACGTTTTGCAAATAAACCAAATCGAAAATTACAACAGTTGACGATGATACCGTTCTTTGCTGTACGCCTTAAAGTACAATGTATTTACCTGTCAACGCACGTTTCGGTAATTCAAGGACATTATACGGTGTCCTTGGGTAATGTCGGACTGATTGTCCTCTCTTCCCCAGGGTAATATTGACTGGCTCTACTTCCCACTGCTAGATGGCGCTGCAGTGAGAACATGACGGCACCAAACGTGACTATAGCTTGTATACTCCTGTATATATTTTGTCCATTTATTTACCAACCCGATGAAAATATCAATTGAGTTGGAGTATCTGACAATATACTTCACCACACAGCAATTTATTTGACCATCTGTCAAATCCCAAATTTTCCCTCACTATTAGCACGAACTCTGTAGCCATGCAAAATTAACATACAGTCTCTAAACTCCCAGAAGGAACATTGATAATAATCCCTACCTTAGTTTCCTGTTGATGTAATTGAAATTTGCACGGAAAATATATACAGATGTTTCTTTTTGTCTGGTATCCTATTAAGTTTAATGTGTAGGGTTGAAAGCTTGTAAAATGATGATGTAGTAAGGACCATATTTTCTGATCATTTCTTTACATAGCAGGCTGAATCAACCGTATCGTATTATATAACGACATTCATGGAGTATATGCAACGTTATTGCGTTGTGTGAACAAAAATGAGATATTTGTTTTCACTCGGCTATCGTGTATTTATTTGTACCAGAGAAAATAAAGGGGCCTTTGTGCAGGTGCTTTTTGAAATGTTTGTAAATGCCTGAAATATCAAATAATGGTACAGATGTATTAAAGACTGCTGGTAAAGATCAGTGACATCAAGATTTTGGTATCTAGAAATTTTTTTCTGATTTGGAGCCAAAATCATACAATGAGCGCCTTCAACAATGTTTATCATGATCAGCCCAAGGTCACAGGACGTTAAAAAATTTATCAGGACCATACAAGAGAAATGTTATTGAGATTTGAACCATAATACCAAAGAATTGCCGTTTATTTCATGATCAATGTATATGTAGCATGACATGTGTCGAAAGAATAAGTTTCAATTCACATTTGTATCAGGTAATATGCCGTGTACCTATTACTACAGTACAATGGTACATTAGAGAAGCTCACGTAACATAGCGGTTGTTTCAGATACTTAGCCTGGTAAACCACCCCGTGGACCCGGCATAGGTTTTTTTAACAGACCCAGTCCACCTACATGTATCACCTGAGTGTCAGCATTGTTAGCTTTCGTCCGCTCCCCTTGTTGGCGGTGAGCGGATCTTGGGGAGCGGACGAAATATAACAGGGCTGACACTCAGGCTACCTATCAGAGCACTGAACACTTTTTTTTAATCTAACAAACGATCTTTTAGCCTGGATGCCACACCCATAGCACGCTAGGCTCAAAGTTCATACATAAGCCAGATTGCGATGATCAGGGCCTAACTGAGGGCTATATAATTTCCTTGGGAACATTTTGGCCATGGAGCCAAGGAACGGACCTGCGTAGGACCTGGAAACAGTCTGGCATCCAGGCTACCGATCTACTTAACTGATTTCATTGGTTTGTAACTGAATTGGAATTTGTGAAATTGCTCGGGGCGGAGGGCTAGCAGAACACTCCCAGTGCCGAGGAGATCCTTGATGCCCACGCGGTAGGCTGGTGCCAGGCCGATACTGTCACTACGCACTCGTATAGTGTTGACAGCTCATAATGCTGATGTCTCGTCAGGGTAACCACAACAAAGTGCGCAGACATAACACCAACTTATCCCCTTTATCTCTGCAGATTATGTCTGTACAAAGCATCACTGACGACGTAATCATTTCATCGCCCGGAGACTTTCTGTGTACAGAATCGGCTCTTGTGGATATCCGAAGAAGATTAATTGGTACTCAAAACAATACAACTGTCATATTCTGCTTCTAGCCACAAACAAAAGCACCGGTATGTTCCGGACACAAAGCGGCGTACCATAGTGATGACACACCCTTAAATAATACCTCCAAGGCAACAATTATCACTGGCATCTAAAATGTATAACCGGGACAAAGGTAACGCGCCCGTCTTCATTAATGTAGCATGGTAACCATTCTCTACGGGCGGTTTTGAGGTGTTTTAGGCCCCAGTTTGTTGGCACAGGCCTTTCCTTTGGCAATCAATCTTTAGCCTAGTTACAAAACCTAATTTAGCCACCGAGTCTCTTTCCTCTACCGCAAATAGTAGAGAAAAAAGACAGCTAAAATAGGTTTGGTAATAAGGCTAGTCGATCTTTTCAGCCCGCCTTTCCAATTACCCGTCCCGTAGTATACAATGCGTCCGCATCACCCCTACTCTTCTTGACAAGTGTGATGAGTCATTTGCAATTTACGTGGAAAGGCGTGAACCCATACAATGACACAGAAGGAGAAAGCCAGGAATTGGGAAAATTTTATCTCCACCCTAAAATCTAATAATAACATATTGCAAAACCATACCGGCTGCTTTGTTGGATCATACATGTACTTCGCAGGATCCAGCTGAGATTTTCCCTTTAGGCATTGGCTCAGAACCCTGTGGTTTTGGGGTTCAAATCCGTGGCACGCCCCCAATATGTTGTTGACGTTCCGCGGACAGGACTAGGTGCCCAGACTATGAGTAGCGTGGGTTCCATTGACTCGATGAATGCTTCCACCCTCTCCGTTCTGCCTCCGCAAGGAACCCAGGCTAGTATATGAGAGGAGGCAAATATTGAGCCGATAACAGCAGGGGCCCCTCCCGGTGTTAGTGGAATGTCACTCAAGTGTAATAACTTATTACTAATCACCCCTGCGATGAAATGGAATCGGCGTTTAGTTCAAAGGTCAACAACTTGTTGGATCAGTGAGACACTTCCGGCATACATGTATTGGCGCGCTCTCCTGTTGACAAGAAAAGTTAATGAGTAACCGGAGCTTTTGGTTATGTAAACTAACCACCGTCTGGTTGATAAGTTATGGCAGAACAAACTGCGGGGGACTATATTGTACTCGGAAAACTAGGAAGTGGTGCTTTCGGGACGGTATTCCAGGGTAGACATCAATGGCAGGGCTCTACTGTCGCGCTGAAAAGGCTCAACTTACAGAACTCGGACCACATAGAGACCGCCAGACGTGAACTTGAACCACTGCTAGCCCTCAGAAGTACTCCACACTTCAACATAGTCATGTTTTGGGAGTCCTTTGTGTACCAGGGGAGTCTATGGCTGGTGCTGGAATACTGTGATCTCGGTACGTTAAACGACTTCATTCTAGCAACCCCTCAAAATACTGCACTGAACCTCCGCTTGATGACTAATATCACGGCTGCTGTGACCTTCCTACATGATCGAGAGATCGTTCACCGCGACCTGAAACCAGAAAACATCCTCCTGTCCGGAACTGAAGAAAACCCGGTGGCGAAAGTTGGCGATTTCGGGCTCGCTAAAGTCTGCGGCGACGCTTTTCCCAACCTCTTCACCGACTATTACATGTCTGAAGAATGTGGGTCTTATATTTTCCTTGCTCCTGAGGTTACTGAGGGACACTACACTAAGAAGTGCGACATCTTTGCCATGGGGGTCATCTTCGCGGCCATGATCACCAGAGCAACTAGAAAAGACGAAGAGGGTTCAGAAATGCTGGTTGTGGTCGTAACAGAAAACAGCAAAGATCTCACAATAGGAGAGGCGCTTCGACGAAATCCCAACACGGAGGCAGAGATCTCGGAGTGTCTCGCGAGAGCTATGCTAGAGAATACTGACAACAGGGCCCTAGTAGATGTCTGTCTTAGACTGTTACGTTATAACTACCATACACGGCCTACCGCATCCGACGTGCACGAAGATATGAAACAGTTACAACGCGGTGGCGGTACCGGTAGCCAAGACCGTTTAGGACGAGACCCGTCTTTCCTCGGAGAAGGACAAATACAGCCAAGTCATCAACTTCAAGCAAACTCACTCCCGACGCATCCATCATCCGAAAGAGTGGAAGGACTGCGTCAAATCCAACGAGGAAGAGGACGACGTGGAAGATATCCGTTATTTCGAAGAGCCATACGCCATGTACGTGGACAGATGGGACAAAGGCAAGGCGTAGGAAGAGGCGCGGGTCGCGTTCGAAGAAACCGACTCGCAAGAGGCGGAACAGCTCAAGGTCCGTTACATGCTCGGGGACGACCCCGTCTTCAGCCCGCTGTACGGATACGGCAGATCAGTAGAAACTTCCCGGGGGGCATACAAGGGTTTTTCCAAGCCATGAGACGACGAGTTGGTGAGATCAGGGCGACTAGGGTCATTAGCCGAATTCTTGACTTAAACGCCTGATTTTTAGAATTCTACTGGTGTGTTTGACTTGACTTACTTGACGCATGTCGGGTGCCAGTCCTATGATCCTATGCTACCGGAACCACCTTGGCAGCCTAGTAGCTCCTGTCTTGCAGTCACTGAATGTCAGAAAAAAATTAGCTTGGATGCCAAACCCATAGCACACTGGGCCCAAAGTAATATCCCAGTGTGCAGACTGGAATATTACTTTATGCCCAGTGTGCTATAGGTCTGGCACCTAGGCTAGAAAGAATTATGATGCATCACCGATGACTTAAACATTGCGAGGTCATAAATGATCATTTGCTTTATTTTATTTCTTGTTTATTTGTTTGTTTCGTATAACCAGTAAACCGCCTTTTACGCGTAACACACCATGGTGTACAGCACTGGTGTGTAAGACCGGACTGTAAGTATACAAGGACAAGGTTTGAACCAATCACACCAGGAAGGACCCCTTCTCTTTTCGACGATTATGATTGTACCTAAGTTAGTTTATACTTTTTCTGTTATCATATGGGTTCTTTAACGTGCGTGGGGTGTGGCTCTCCCTAACACAGGACCAATCCGAGGGACGTCCCTAACCGAAGTGAAGTGAGGAAATTAAAGTCGTGTAAAGTGCCTTTCCCAAGGGCACAGGATCGGTGGCGTCGACGTCGGGCAGGATTCGAACCCGGGACCTCTTGGGTCTGAGCTCATAATCGTCGAAAAGAGAAGGGGTCCTTCCTGGTGTGATTGGTTCAAACCTTGTCCTTGTATACTTACAGTCCGGCCTCAAGTCCGGCCTTACACACCAGTGCTGTACACCATGTTTATGAAGCACTTACATTAGTGATAAAACACTGATCTTTCTTGACGTCCTTTATATTACACTAACAGTATTACACATTTGACATTACCTTGGTAATTCTTAATCAGATTTAAATATATATCATTAATTAACTTAATAAACCTTAACTAAAATTACACAAGCTTAACCAAGGACATTTTGATAGTTCTACTATAAAATGTCAATGTCATTGTATACACGTAATATTACCTACATAAATGGGAAATGAAAATACGTGTCGAACTCTCTCGGAGCAGTCGTTATTTCAACGGGATATATCCTACCGGACCTTGACCTAGTTGTGTCGAACTGTCAACATTTTTGAGAGCTCGAGGAATGAGGTCTGCAGCTGGCGAAGCCACACCGCCTGGCGGATGTCAGCAGAAATCTACGCGCCTGTCAGTCAACTCTGCTTGTCGTGTTTCACCGATCAAAAGACATACCTTGGAACCTGCCCTGGAATCCAGGTTACCGCGGGTCTGGTCGATTCTTGTCGGCGCGCTAATAACACAGTATCCAGCCGGCCAGGGAGTTTTACCGGCCCCGCTGTGTAGAACTGACATCGTGTTTCCTCATTGTGCGTACCGAAATTTTGATTTGATTTATCACCATGGCTGTACATGTGTGTACTTTCGGTAGAACATTGTTGAAGTGATAAAGATCCAACGATGGCCTTATCTACTTTTGGTCGCTGATATTATTATGTAGAATCAATTATTTGATTCACTTGTTATGCTGTCAAAACAAATAAATTAAACAGATAAAATTCACTATGTCGCACGACCTACTTCTTGTAAAAGTCATATATATGACAGCGAACCAGGAAAACTCATGGAGAACACTTCAACATTCAACTATAACGTACACGTAATGTCATAATGAATGGTAAGTAAATGAATGGATGGATGGGTATGCAGAGCAGGAGGAAGAAGAGGATACTCGACAGCAAGTGAGAAACGAAGTATTGTCGTGCCGATCGTCGCGCTGTTCGTCCTCTCTCCACTGCTGCTCCTGCCTGTCTCCCTGACTACAGTGTCTCTTTTTATCCAACACAGGCGGTACTGCCCTACATGTTGACACTTTGATTAACGGTTCCTCTTCTTTCCGTCTGATAAACGGGGACATGCGACACGTGTTTATTTTGATAGCAGGGGTTGTGGAATCTTGGAAATAGTTCACATGGAGTTCAGCTGCTTCATTCAAAGTTTAGCACGTACAATTGATGAGTAACATTACAGATGGATGGATGGATGGATGATTGTAGGGCAGCAGTGTGTGGCAAGATACGGAAAGTTCCTTCACTAGATTACGTAATACTTGTAACCCGAGGGGAGTCAGCCGGACTCTACTCTACTCTGTACACCACCTGTCCGGCCCTTTCACTGGTCTGATGTCACGGGTCATACCCGGCGTCCCGACACCGATGGATGGTGGAGTCGTACCACATGCCGTCCCCGCAGGAAAGTGGGTCAACTCTCCCATATAGGCGGGCGTAACTGCTTTCGGCCACCGAAGAGAATCAGCCGGCTAGCGGTCCGATATCTAGTCTTGGTCTGGCTCCCAGGTATTAAAATACGGGCATAGTTCTATACCATATGGTAGATATATAGACACAATGAAAGATTGGATATGGCATTCATTCAGATATAAATAGTGAGACTTTACAGCATTTAAAAACAAAACAGATGGAATGTCGTGCTCCCCATCGTGGTGTCCTTGAAAAATTCGGAAAATGACTTCCCAAACTCAGCATCACCAGTATCCACTTGTGATAAAACTTACCTTGTTTGTTGTCTCTCGGCTGAAGATAGATTCCGGAAACCAGGAACTAACTAAATCCAAATCCACAAACATATATACAGGCACTTAAGTAAACAAGGACGATACCTGGTAACTGTTACCGTTACGTGCACTTGATGACCCTTGATGAGTCTTGAAAGTTGGCACAGTTTGTGTCCTTCAGTTGAGCAATGGGTACTTGTGGGTGTCGGTAAACCTTTCCGACGTTGGCTCAAGTGAAGATAACTTGCTTCTGCCTGCTTGTTGTCTGGTCGGGCTCAATATTACATAATATGATGAGGGTGTGTGGCCCAGGGGCGTGGCCAAGTTAAGGCCTGAGTTGAATCATGGGAAATCTCATTTTCCCGCGCTTTTTCCAGGATAGCTGCACGCATGCGCGTGGCGAAATTCAAAATCAAAATGGCCGCCGGTCGGCAGAAATTCTAGTGTGTTATTTTCCTAAATTTTTAGCTCTATTTTCTTTCTCTGTCAACTACCGTAAACAGTCGCAATGTCTCAGGAGAGCGGATCGTTTCGCGTTGTCTTCCTAGTCGACACTAGCCCCAGAAAGGACGGTGCTGCCGAAGAGGAGAGGGTTTCGAACGCACTCAACCTGTCCGCCTTGAAGATTTTGTCCCACTTAGCTCACAAAAATGGACAGACCAAAGACAACATCCTTTGGGGGTACAAGTTCTTCAACTCCTCGAATGAAAAAGCTCCAAGGGATCGCTTCAATTTTCGAGAATTCGACAGCAAGCTTTTCGAGGCATTCGAAACCGAAGTGACCGGACGTTTGGAACCGCCATGGTCTGGGAAAGAAAACGAAGAAGACGAGCGGAGTCGGCGGGCGACGAATTTTTTTTCCTCATCCGAAACGTTTCGGACGGCCTTGTCCGAGATAACATACGAATTCAACTGGGATATGCCGGACATAAGTTCCCCCTGTAAACCTGTGCGACCCGCTGCGGCTCGTATCGGGCTGCGAGGAAAGTCGGGAGCAAGAACTCCACAGCTGAACACGATCATGTCTACGGTCTCCAGAAACTACGTGTTTGTCTTGTCTCCCTGTCCTCAGACGTCTGAAGATCTTGTTGAGTTCGTGGGAAGTACTAGGAAGAGTGGACTGAGTACGGAAGACGTCAGGAGCGCGATCCTACCGCCGCACGTGTACAGACAGATGTCAGAAACATGCAGGATACGACTCTACTGGGTCGATGTGCAATCTTTCATGAAGAGCCACACAAATAATCAACAGGTACAGTATCATTTCGTGTATATGACGTATTATTTAATGAAGTACTCCTACACATGTATTAAACAACAATGATTGTATTATTTAATTAACCTACACATTTGTGCCAAATATACCACCAAACAATGATTCTTTCTTCAGACTTGTGACATTGCAGTGAGTGCGGCATCCAATTCGGAATATGGCATGGATCAATCAAATCAGATAAAACCAACGAGGTTATACTTTAAGAGGAGTCGGCTCAGAATTACTAGTAGTCCCCTTTCAGCAATGTTCGAGTGCTAATTTCGAGCTCCTCCGATTCTACCTCTATGATAAAACACTGCAACACCTTATTGCCCTCCTATTGCTAAATTAATTCTCAGCCAACTCAGAAATGGATTTACAGCAAAAATTGGTTGAAATATTGGTGTTCTGGTTGTCGTAACAGGTGGCAGACAAGATGGGGGTGAATCTGGTGACACAGGTGTTGGAAGGACTGAACGGTTGTGTCATCCCCGGTAATGCACTCTTACAGCTGGGCAGTCATGTGACCAGCAGCATCCAATCACTGCTTCCAATCAGTAAGAAATCCAGGTATGAGCCACCTGTTCATTTATGAAATGTTGTACTTTCTTTTCATATAACGCAAGGTTACCAGTTTACGTGCAGGACCAGTTTACGGTCAGTTAGTGACACGGCCACGCTTCGAGGTGTACCAGCCAAAAATCAACGGTCGTGAGCAACAAAGAATAACATGAATATGATCCTTATATGTGTCTTTTATTTATTCACTGGATGGGAATAAGTTTGCATTCAGCGACACAGCAGAGTATCTTCCGATATGACGGGACAGCAAGGTAACATGGCCTTGGACGCATGTTGTGTTTTTCACATAATACAATACTCAACATTTCGTCGATTTTTTAAAATCCCAAGAATGCTAGGAAATTGTAACGATAGCTGGCATCAAACCTGGCTTTCTTATTTCAATCATCCATGGTGTTGTGAGGTATGAAACTTTCAAACACCTTGAAATAAACAAGCAAAAGTATAGTGGCAGTTCTCGCCGACTAGCGTTTTTTCGAACGCCATTTTAATCATCATCATCGTTGCATCAGGTGACGTCACGGTTTTAAACTGCAGAAAGGTACGTAAAAGTCGCACTGTGGCGCTGTTGCACATTAATTTATGCAAAAATGCCAAAATGGCTTCCTGCGTCCGTAGCGAAAAGTTTGCTCGGGTTTTCACGACGTTCCGTTGTGTCTGGAGGGGCATAGACGGTTGTTATCTATTGCAACGGTTTAATGGAACATCTTGGGCCATTATGTCACGTTCTACTAAGGGAAAAATGCAGGTCCAGCCTCATTTAGCACCACAGCGCTACTGCATGCGACAGTGGGCTACACACTGACATTTTACCGTGGTTTGTTGTTGACCACTTCGGTATTTTTTTGCAGAAAGTGTTTGTTTATGTGCGCTTATACGTAGAGCATACAAGGACAAAGGTCCAAGTGACCGTTAATTGGTCACCCTAGAGCAATTCTCCACTGTTAACTACTAAATAAATAAAAGCTGGCACGGCACAAAAAACGCAGGGAAGAAATGACACGGCACACACTTTTATAACCGACGAACTACTGTTTCTTCACAAGGGTTAAATATTTAGTTCTGCCCACGCGTTTTCACAAAAAATGCAATTTTCCATAAATCGACCGTAAACGGGTAACCTTGCGTTACAGCTTATTTGTGTGTGTGCATGTGTCTGAGATATGATGCCAGTATGTATATGTATGGTACAGATTTGCTATACATCCTTAGTGCTGTTGCTTTTGTGGTACAGAAAAGCTACAAAGTACTACTACTAGTAGTTTGGACAGTCGGGTGAAGTCTTCCATGATCCACCTCTAAAGTATTCTTCTAGAATCATATTTTCTTCTTAAATAGTTGTTATTTGTGAGGCGCAGAAGATCTTTAAATCTCTGAAAGCACATCAGTTATGACTATGATCATTCACTGAAATGCAAATAGAAGGACCGAGATGGCGGGAGACATAGCAATGAGATCATAGGAGTACATTCTATTCAATTTTCTAATCCAGGTCCACTGGTAAGGATGTTGCTGCAGTAGATGTACCTGACTTCCCCCTGACTTCATCATCACTGCTAGAGTATTACACAGCCAGAAGCTGGGAGAGACAGGGGATGGATATCAAAACATCAGCTGTGTTGTGCCATGGTAAGGCGTGAATTTAAAACATGTGTATTAGTGTTACAATGCAGGGGTATGAGGGCATAATGAACCATGTCAGGGCTCGGAATTCAAACCTAGGACTTCTTGGTTTCTTGGTTCCCAGTTTGACTTTAAATTTTTTTTCTTTCAAGGTGCCGACAGAAGGGCGTTGTGTTCCCTTGACCTACAGCCAATGTTCTCACCACAGAACAGGTCAGTACAGGGCTTATTTTCTTTGACCACACATACCAAGTTTCTCCTCATTTGTAATTTTTTAACAGACATTGTGTGAGGTCTGTTACAGTGGCTGTACTTTTTTTTGTTTCCTTACACAGGATGCCAGCTGCACATTCCATCCTTTCCCACGGTCCCAACAAGACAGATCATTCTGTGCAACACCTGTCCATTGAATGGACTGGCAGTTCACCTTCACAGCTGCTCACCTGTAGTGCAACATTAGATGTAGGTCAAGGGGCGTCTCAGGGTCAAAGAACATCTCAGGACCAAAGGTCAAACGTGAGAGGTCAAAGTACAGGGTGTAGAACTGACCTGTTGTTGATGGTAAGAGGAACTGTGGAGCGATGCTGCTTGCCGCTCACCTGCTTCCACCCTACACACGCCTACACCTGTGTCATGTCTAAGGAGAGACTGAGGACATCAGCTGAGACAGAAGGGTGTAGTGTTATGCTGGAGGACTTGTTACTGGTGCTATCACGTGAAGGACTGTCTCTGGTAGGTTTCAATATCACTGTTTGTTGCTGATGCGGTAGAAAAACTATCATTTCACATCAAGTCCTAAACCATATCTTATTCACACGAATCAGCCACATGTGTACTGTAGTCACTCAAATATCTGCAATGAAATATTTCTCTTGGAGGTATTGTATTATATTAAGTTTACTGCTTTTGCTCTTATGTCATGAGTTTATAAACCTTAGTGCTACCAGTCTCACTAACACCTGTGTGTTCTCCCAGGTTGTAGACTTCCATGACCCATCAGAACACCTGCCTATAACAGGTGTCCTACAGCCGCTCACTGCTGCCTCTGCCACGCTGACCGTGGTGCGCTCAGACATGCTCCTCACGCTTGAGAAGGTCCTCGCTTTCCCCAAAGTCAGCAGTGAGTCAAGCAACACGGAGCATGTGGACACCTTTGTGAAAAGATGTGTGTCACATTTCTTGAAGAAAAAAGAACAAGAAGAGGCAAAGGATCATTTAGTGTTAGGTAAGTCCACATCAGATGCCTTTGAATGCATTGTAGATGTCTCTCTTTGTTTCTAGCACCAACATTTGAAGAAGTCTTCCTAGAAGTCTTCATTGTTTGAAACAGAAACCAGCCATATTGTTATTTTCTTTCAAAATTCAAAACAAAATAGATACTATTGAGGTAGCAGTCTTCACAACTTTCTAGAAATTCCAACTATAGCATTAGTATGGAATTAAAGGATTCAAAACCTCACCACTAGTACAGATGTGATTTTGAAATGTAATCAGTTTAACATGTACACCCTTTGGTTGTCCTTTCATTTTTTCTGCAGATACTGCAGTGTCGTCTAGCAGTTCTGCCTTATTTAAGGCCAGCTCAGCAAGGTTTAGGCTGCAAACACTGGAACCTTGGTACAAAACTGCACCCAACTCTGGGACTAGTACCTCCTTCATTCAAAAACTGTCCAGGTTTGGAAAGTTTTTTGTCAGATTGTTGACATGGCCGGTAAACAGTCTTAAGGTGTAACACACCTGTTTTGTACTTAAAGTACAAGCTGTGTAAGACCACACTCACACTGGGAAGGACCCCTAGTTTTATCCATAAGTGTGGTGGGTTGTGGCTGTCCTCAAACACAGGACCAAATTGTGTGGACATGTTAGAGAAGATAAAGCCTAATACTGCCTTGTGTTGTTAGGTATTCAGCTGAATCTTTTGCTGATACATGTAATTGCTAATTTATAGCTTCTTTTTATTTTACTTCTCATTAGCATTCCAGAGGATGTAACAGATGAAGGCATACAAGAACCAGAACTATTAGAGGTTCTGCATAAACTGTACACCAACCAACTCATTGGTGGGGCAAAACCTCAGGAAAAGGGTATGTTGTGTTTGTACTATTCTTACAAATCAAATAATTTTGTCTACTATGTGCATGTATGCACATGTGTGAGCAAAAAAAATATATTATTTAGAGGCAGACAAGTAACAAATATTATGTGGATCACAGCATAAGGGTACACAGCATTGTTTTCATTGAGCTGTATACATGAACATGAAATAATGTTCGCTTGAGAGGGTCAGAAGATCTTTGAATGGTAAAAATGCTTCAGGTATGATTCACTGAAATGCAGCCAGAGCAATGATACACATAAAACGTGCTATATGTTGATACATTGCATTGTTGATACATTATTGTGATGCATCACAACTCTGTTATTGACACTTTGGTTATATTGCTTACTGTAGGTAAAGATATAAGCTGTAAGAAAGACCAGCCACCAGACCCCAGTAGTCTGGTGAGTCGACGGAGCAAGCGACTTCTGGCCAGGATACCCAGCTTCTCCGACAGTCTGTCTGCACGAGCAAAGCAGATTGTTGGTCTTAGCTACAAGGTATGTACATGTCAAAACATCCATCCCTTGTCATGGTATTATTCCACCCTGCACTTATGTAATGTACATGTATGATGGGTTCGAATAGTGCATGACATTTTTTTATATATACATGTAATATGGAATGCTTACAAAATGCTTTTCTTTGTTTTCTTTAAGAAACATGAAGAACAGAAAACCAAACCAAAGGAGGAGGAAACAACTGAGACACAGTTGGACAAGGAGAAACAGAGAATCATGGAAGAGAGGAAAGAGGTCATGAGGAATGTGACCATACCTACTGGTACACTACTATAAAACTGTCTAACCAGCTAAAGAATAGTGTGTTTTTTGGCCTGGATTTAGTTTGGATTAACTTGATGTAGATGACACAAGCATGTTGTGAATTTTTGTTGCAGATTTTACTGATGAAGACAGCCTCATTTCACAGCTGAAGGAAAATTACAACCAGTGGCTGGAAGAGGTTAGTGATATCACTGTCTACATAAGGCCATGTTGATTTGATTATATGGATGACATCCTCCGGGAGCCCCAAAACTGATGCGCGCGTGCGAATAAAAAAAAGTTTTGCAAAAAAAAAGTTCTTTTCATTATGAAATCTACGTGGTCATGGGGGTTGAGCAAATGGCACAGAATATGGCGAATAATCTAGTCTTTAAGTTCATCTCTTTACAATTTCGTCTTTTTTCATTTGATTTTGGCATTCTACGACATTGGTATAGTTTTTATTATTTTTTTTTGTAACTTGAGGTATATTTTTGCTCATTTTGCAACTGTTTTGTACGATTTACAGTATGGTTGAAAACTTTTTTTTTTTGGAAACGGCCGAAAATTCATGCGCGCGCGGATGTCATCCATATAATCAAATCAACATGGCCTAAACAACAAAACAAAGAATTATTCCATATTTTATTCTGTCTGAGAATACACTATATAAATGCGCGTTTCCAATATTTCTTGTTTTGCAGGATAAACCCTTGTTGCAGTTTGTGCAAAGTTCTGTACAGGTGGCGCTTCACTACGTGAAGTCACAGGGTACAGATGATCCTGAGGTGAGGGTTTCTCTTATCATGCAAAGTGTAATACACCTAAAATACACCTACAATTAAGCTCATCTTGTACATGTAGGTGTACTCACTGTATAACCTGTTTTCATACATGAGCTGTGAAAGTGCATTGTTGTTTTTGTTTGTTTGCTCACACCACCTAATTGCTCTCCTAATATACATTTGTATATGACTCCTGCTTTACCACCTATCTGAGGGATGTCCCTAACTGAAGCTACATAAAAGACCTTTTCAACAGCATTGGGGTATACTAGGGATTTGAACCCAGAAACTTGAAATTCTAAGACAGTAGTAACCAATTTTTTTTGTGAGAGAACAGATCATATGCCACACACATGGCAGGTAGAAGTTATCTCTTTATTGTTTTCTTGCTTTTATGTTTACAGAAGTACACCAGGCAGCTGTTAGAAGACAAGTTTCTGTCCAAAGCCAAGGCTATCAGAGACAAGTATAAGAATGCCAGTGGTCAGACTGACCTACAGATGAAGATCAGAGAGTGAGTAGTTACATGTACATGTTTCTCCAAGTGTCCAGAAACAT